TACGACTGGCGCTAAAGGTGCTTCCCTTCCAGCTTTCTATACTTCAAGCTAGCTGATGAGGGGATTTCAGATGTCGTCTGAACTCGCCTTTCTTGTTGAACGTCTTTGGGGGTAAGTCGATGCCTTCGCTTCATTGGAAGGGGTGTATACATGTCGAGGAGGTGTTCATCCGCAAGGGTCTCAGCGGCCACCTATGTCTGTATCTTCGACTATGCTTGGGTATTTAAAAGCTGTTTAGTGTAGCGGAAGCGCGACAGGCGAGTAACAGATTGTACAGTTCAGCCTTCTGTGCCTGGATCTTATCACAGAATGCAAAACATCTAGGTAACATGTTAATTTCTGCGCATGAAATTGATGCAAAAAGAATTTCAATGGAGAGAAGATCGCATGTGTGAGATGGAGTGAATTGATAGCTGCGCAAGGCAAAAAAGGGCAAAAAAGAAATGATCAATCTAGCTGCTCTCGGTTTCGATCCGAGGTCCTCCGGGTTATGAGCCCGGCGCGCTTCCGCTGCGCCAAGCAGCTTTTGTGGTTGATTGGTTGATGGAAGAGTTGCAAATTCGATACAATATAACCGCAGGCAAATTACTGACGGGTTCGCAATGCACTGCATCATCACAATCAATTCTCGAAACTTTTGTGTGGGAGTTCAAGCGAGTGGTGGAACGTAGCGTGAAGATTCTGCTGTGACTCACAGAGAAGCGAGTGGTTGTGGAGATCCCTTGCTAAACTTCGCAACACCCCAACTAAACCCTACCTAGGTACTAACAAAATCCCAAAGCCTAACCTACCGGACGCCGCGCTAATTTACATAACTGAACCTTACACCAAGATACACTCATACTCGTGACCACAACTATAATCACACAATCCCCTCACCTCGAAAACGCACCCTCAGCATCATCCCCCAGCCCCCTAAACGCAATCCTCCCATTACTCCGCAGAACCTCACAAACCGTCTCCGCACTCAACTCATACCCACTCTTCCGCCAGCGCGCATTAAGCCAATCCGCCAACGCATCCGCACTACAGCTAAACCGCCTCGTATCCCACTCATGCAGAATCAAATCCACAATAGGCTGATCCGGCAGGGGCTCCGGGTGCGGATCCTGCAAGGGTACGGAAGAAAGAGGCATGGGCAGTGCGCGGGGCGGAAAGATGTTTTCGTAGGCGGTTAGGAAGTGGAGGAGGGTGTGTTCGGTGTGCGGGCGTGAGGCGAGGGTTATGCCGAAGGGTTGGCCGTTTAGTTTGAGCGCGGAGAGGGGGCAGGCGGCGGTGGGGTAGCCGGCTGCGGCTGCGAGGGCGGAGAGGGGGGCGTCGCCGGGGGCGACGATGAGGTCGAGGTGGAGGCTTGTGAAGAGGTAGTCGAGGCCTTCGGGTCCGCCGGCGGTTTGGAGGTGTTGGCGTGCGGCGTTTACTTCTTCGCGTTTGGTCGTGGATTGGAGGGCTGCCATTAGGTCGTTTTGGTCGGGGCAGGCTGGGTGGGTGTTAGTAAGAGGAGGAGATGGGGTGGGTTGGAGGGACGTACTTGGTGGCAGGCAGAGTTCGGGGTGGTCGAGGTTGAAGTTGATGATTTCGGCCAGCGAGTGCATCTTTGTGACTTTGAAGTCGCGGATGAACTCTGCTAGACAGTCTTTGAACTCGGAGTCTGCGTCGTATCAGTATACACCCAGCGCAATAGAGGAAGATACTAACAAACAACAGGCTCAAAGCAGTTCTTGCCGTCAATCGTCAAACTGGATTGGTTCGGCAACTCCACCGGATACACGACATCAACGCCCATCTCGATCATGCTCTGAACAATCATATCGTATTTCTGCGTCTGCACCATGTCAGCACTGCATAGCCCAACCCAACACCAACCCCTGCACCAAAACGTGCGTTCTATACTTCCATCTGTACGCAGAGGTAAGCGCTAACTCACCATGAATCGCTCGGCGTCAGCATTGATCCGCCCGCTTTTACGCCACGCCTTCCAAATACTCGGCTCGCAGATACCGATGCGGAGCGTCCCGAAATCCGGCTTGATCTTGAACGATCTGTGTGGACTGCTTGCGTGTTCTTCGCGGTTGGTGGGGACCATCATGGCGTCCATTAGCGCTACGAGATCTTTTGCTGATTTAGCCTATGGTGCCGTCAGTGCGTGGAGTACGAGCTGACGCATCCGTGTGTGCTTACCATGCCTCCGACGGCGTCGAATGTCTTGCTTAGGTTGAAGATGCCGTCCATTGGTATTTGCCCAGCTGTGGGTTTCAGAGCGTAGAGCGCGGCTCGGTTTGCGGGCGTGATTAACGATCCGATCGTGTCTGTTCCGATAGCTAGGGTGCTGAAACCTGAGGCGACTGCGACTGCGGATCCAGTTGATGATCCTCCCGGTGCGGAAAGCTCCCAGTGTAGCTTCCTTTTCGCGATGTGTCTTGAGACGTAAGGCGACTGACACTGTCCACCGACTGCTGACCACCCCGGAGGCATTGAAGGGTTCTTGAGACCGCAGAACTCAGTCAGGTTCGATTTTCCGATGATGATCATGCCGCGTTTGATCAGTCTTTCGACAATTGTTGCGCTTTTCTTGGGTATGCATCCTACGAAAGCGTACGATCCTGCACAGCAGTAAGTCACTGGCCTGGATCCAAGTTAACTATCCACATACCAACTGTGGTATCCATCCCTAGCTTCTCATCGGTCATAATGTTGTCTTTCAACACTATCGGGATACCATGTAATGGGCCTCTTATCTTGCCTCTTGCCCGCTCATCGTCCAGCTTCCTAGCCATCTTGATCACTTCATGCTTTGGCGCAACCGAGATCAATGCACGTAATTGTCTTCCTCTTCTGTTGTGCTGTTCAATTTCTTTCAAATACAACCGCACAATCTGTACACTCGTGAGAGCTTGCGCATTCATGAGTTCGGAAAGCTCAAAGGCCGAAATCGTAAGTGGATCAAAGTCTGGCAGCCATGCGTCGTCGGCCGAAGATGTGAAGGATGCTTTGCGCGACGCATTACTGTTGTCGACAGACTCCCGTGGTTGTGCGTTTCCGATGTTTGGCGCAAGGGCCGTTTTCAGATATCTGAATACCTTCGGCATGGCTGTGTTGGGTTTGCGACCGTCGGCTGTGATCAATGTGGGGTGCGGGCGCGTGGGGATGGAGATGCCGGGATGTGTGTCGATCCGGGGTGACGACAGCGGAGCGTGAACGTTGTTTGGAGTGAGAGTACGTGCGATCGCAAGACTGAACAAGCAGATCGTCAATGTAGGGAGATGAGACAGCCAAAAGCGTCTGCAGGGGACGTGGGCTCCGCTAGATTATGAGTGCTTGCCATGGCTGCGTCCGAGGCTCTAGACATCGCCAGTGGCTGCGGGTATGATCACTCCTTCGAGGCCTGACCGAACTGGACGTTCGCCTTCTGACATCCCGGTCCATGGCGTCCATAGACTGTGTGGAGTAATAGGGTTGGTGGTTCCAGTGAAGCCAATCGAGGACAAGTATTTCCGGTAAGTCGTACTTTATGTTCTTCCTATTCGCAGATGCGAAAGCCCCGTAAGAACCACATGATGCGTGATCAGGTTGAAGTTGCACAACACTTTACCCGGAACGCAGGGCCGCACGGAGCTGTTGGCGGTTGACGTCTCGCTTACGGTCAGATGGTGGCTGCTCACCCTGCTCCCATCCAGCCGGCTGGATATTGGCACTCTTGGGCTCTGCGGAGTCGTGGTCCATTCGGTGTTTTACCTCAAGAGTGTACCTGCTGCCTGGTGTCGGATGAGATGGTTAATCTTTACTACTACTAAACATGACTACGGATTAATTCCAGTCACTGCATCAATACCACCGAGGTCCATTGTCCATCATGAAGGATTTCCCTTCGTGATCTTCACCAAGGTCTCTCCCAGTGAAACTTAGCCGTTGCTCGAGATCTCTGCGCCCTGGTGGCACAGCGATATACTTCGTCGTGAGACGATAAGAAGACTTACCCTCTTAAACTCGAGCAACCATGGCGTCCTTCGTGTATACCGGACTGGGTAATGTTGGGGAACCTGAACCCCTGTCTCGCTTCCAGACATAGGTTTGCCGTGTTATGCGGGGTACCGACTCCTTCAACTTTGGTGGTCTGATACCTTGTTGATTCCTGAGCATGGTTGTTGCAGTCGCAGCACGTGGAATGTCGAAGCGCTACGACGAATCGCCGTTCGATCGAGGCTGACAGCGCGGCCAGGCCCGCAGGAGGCACGCGGGAGTCACTGTCACATCACAATGGAGGACCGATCAGAAGGGTGGCACAGTTCTCGAAGAGTGTTGAGGCGGCGCGGCTAGTCAAGCCTAGAATAGCGTCAGCACGAAAGCCTGCCGCCGTGCGTCCAGATAGTCAAGACGCAATATGCAGCCCCATACTTTGCAATATGCGACGCCACGCTGTATAAATTACAACCCAGGTCAACTGATGCTACTCGAAGCCGCGATTGCCACTGGGTTAGCACAGGTGTGCAGCTGCCACCTTCAACTTCCCGCTTCCGCCAATCTGGACTGTGGGATTTCTCACTGCCGCAGTAGCATGTCAGAAGCCGAGGCAGGTCCCGGTGTACTGCATGCTGGGAATTAATCAAAAAGTGAATGTAGTGCGAACCTGATGCGTGTTTAGCGGATGCGGAGGAAGATGTCTAGTCATTGTACCGGTTCGGGTTGCTCGGGGCTGACACACGTAGAAAGATCGACTACATTCATGGCCAAGAATAGAAAGTAGAACGCATCAAAGATGGGATGCAAAAGGTCTCGTGGTGGAGATTGGAAAAATGATCGTTTACTACCGCTAATTCGACGCCAGCTTAAAGCATCTTCTGCGGAGAATGCGACCTCTGCTGTCGTGTCGCAGACGCGATAGTGAATACCGTTTGAAACTGACAAGTGATTAGAGGTAGGCATGTATAGGCTGCAATACAAGTATTGAGCGACGTCCTGCCGTAGCTTTTCGTGCCTTCAGACTACCACAAACGAGCATGTCCCTAGAACGTCGTCGTAGCCAGTCTGCTCGCCGCATTCTTCGCGTCAATGCGATCATCATCCTCTTCAATCCCCTTCTGGCTGCCTGCCTTGCTAGTCGCACGTTTCCTCCCATTCACAGACTCTTCCTCATTCTCATCGGCCTCGGGTAGAGGCGCCACGATACTGCCGCTCATGCTACGATTGAGGCCGTCACCTGGGCGTCGTGGTACACCGGACCATGCATCGCCCTTGGGTCCTTGTGAACTGGCCATGGGAGTACGGCGCTGAGTGGGATGTGCTTCGCGACCCAGCCGGGAAAGGCCACCACTACCGTCGATAGCGCGGATGTCTGGTCGTACCGATTCTAGTGTCGCAAGTGTACGGCGCTCTGCTTCGATTTCTCGCACGACGTATTCGCGGATCGCTTGCCTCATGTCTTGTGTGGTTCTGTTGAACCATTTGCGTTGCTCTTGTAGGAGGTTGGCTGTGACGCGCTGGGCTTTGGTCGTGAGGTATTGTTCGTGGCTTCTCGCTTCGTCTAGGGCTGCGATAGCCTCGTCGACCTTGTCCCGCTTAACGCTCGAGCTGGCCTTGAGCCTATCGGCTGCGGACAGCTTGGACTTTGTCGCGGATTGTGCTTGTAGGAGCTCGCGGAGGAGGATGTGTCGGTTTGTCAGGGTTTCTTTCGCAATGAAGGCATCGCTGCTGTGGTATTGGAGAGGGTCACCGAGGGTTGTAGCTTCGGCAGTACCCTGTGCTGCGTGGAAGTCGCCCGTGGCCTGGATGACCTTCCCGAGCTTCTTGTATGCGTGTGAGAGACCGACGTGTGTTTCTTGGACATGTAGCGCTGCAAACTTGGCACCGAGATCGGATTCTGCGACTCCCAGATCTAGATTGTGTTAGCCATGAACTGCAAGGTCTGCCTAGGAAGCGTCTACTTCTCCTGTGTTTCACGACCTTCTCTAGCTTCTGCTCCGCCTCCATTGTGCCTAGGTAGAAAGCCTTGACGACTGGTCGTGCCGCAGCAAGTTCCGGCGTGTCGTCTGGCGGCGGCGCAAACTGCTTGATCATCTTGCGGCGCACGCCAGTCGCAGGTTGCTTCCTCCGCACCACAGGGCTGTAGCCAAAGTCGCTCTCCACGAAGAAGACCATCTCTTCGTCGCGTATCAGAATGTCATTGCTGCATACAATGTTCAGCCACCGTTGTAGCGAAGTCTTCAGGCGTGCCTCGTCTTCGTCGGTGCCTGCGCCTGCCGAGGTAGTCGCTGGCGGTACTGCAGGCACAATAGCCTCGGGGCATGCTGAGATGAGATGCTCGCCGAGCTTTACGAACTCGGAGTGCAGGCGTCGGACATCGCGGAATTGGGTGGTTCGGAACTTGGGGAGGTTCGTCTGGAGACACGTCAGTAGGAGTTGGAAATGGGGGCCAGGCGTGCGCGGTAAGGGCAGGATTGGTGCAGCTATGCAGTCCGACTGAGATGCCGGAGAAGCACATGTCTACCTTGCACCACGCCTCAATGTCCGCTATGTCGCGCGCCTCTAGCCCGGTCGTGTCGATGTTGTGGAGACGTACGTAGACATCAAATCGCAGTATCGGGTCCTTCTTGCTATTCCGCTCGAGTCCCGTGACCTTGGCCTGGAGCTTGTAGTGTTGCTGTTGCCGCTGCGGCCTGTTGCCGTGGTATCGCTGCGGCTGCTGCTGGCCCTGCTGCGCATTGGGTGACCGCGGCGCATCCTGGCCCGGCATCTGTGGTTGCTGCAGATGGTCGCCGTTCTCTGGCGCCGTACCGGGCCGGCTTTGCGCATCTTGGTCGCCCATGTAGCCGTACTGCTCACCACCTTCATGGTACGGGGAAGCCTGCGGAGGCAGCGGGGATGAGGGGATGTCGTTGGTCGGCGGCTGGCCAAACGACGTTCGGTTGGCCTGGGGCGACGATGCCCATGGGTCGCGGCCGCCGGGGTGGTCCGGGTCGTGGGCGCTGTAGTCCATGGTGTGTGGTGGGGAATTGGAGCTCTGGACAGCTGCACCGAGCTGTCGAGTGATGCGATGATGTCGCTCGAATGCCCTGACCTGCCCTGGAATTAGCCGAGCTAGGCAAGGCGCGAACCTTGACATCCTTCACATCACGTGCGACTGCCAAACAGCCAAACGCTGTCAATTCGCCCATCTATCGCACTGAGCAGTACTGGGCATGAGGGTCGGATGGGTTACGTCTACCCGTCGAGTCTTGCGACACCATGTGAAGACTCCACGGCGCTTGCTGTCGACGCAACCACACCATGATCTGCTTTCCAAGGCCACCCGCAACATTGGCATCATCGCCCACATCGATGCAGTAAGTGCTGTTTTCTGATAGTTAGATTTGCTCTGACGACTCGGTAGGGGAAAACGACGACGACTGAGCGTATGCTCTACTACAGCGGAGTGACAAGGCGAATAGGAAGTACGTACATGCCATGTCACTTTGGACGATATGCTTTCTTTTCGCTCTCAATTGCTTTTACTCGAGGAACATGCGCTATTAACGAGAGCCCTTTTCTATCCCAATCACGTCCGCCATGTTTTGAAATCTTGACCAAGTATCTCACATGCGTCGGCCATTCCCTCATCCAGACCTTGTCATTCACCTTTTCAAGTTTCATCGTGCAGAAAGATCAACAACGATACAACGAGTGGTATCTAACGCCATACAGATGTCGACGAAGGCTCGACAGTAACCGACTTTCTCCCCGCTGAACGAGCACGCGGCATCACCATTCAATCCGCAGCCATCACGTTCCACTGGCCTCCTCTACCGCCAACTACCCAGACTCCGCCACCGCCACCACAGCTACCAGCCTCATTCGAAAATGTTCTAAGATCTTCAACATCCCACAACATCAATCTCATCGACACGCCCGGTCACGCAGACTTTACTTTCGAAGTGCTGCGCTCGCTTCGTGTACTAGATGGAGCCGTATGTATCCTCGATGGAGTCGCCGGTGTTGAAGCCCAGACGGAGAAAGTGTGGACGCAAGCTGGACATTATCACATCCCTAGGATCATTTTTGTCAACAAGCTGGACCGTGTGGGCGCCGCGTTCTCACGAACTGTTAAAGAGATAGGCGTTAGACTGCACGGATGGCCAGCCGTTTGCCAGATCCCATGGTGGAAGAACGGCAACGGCGATTTCGTTGGAGTCGGTGATGTTATCAACTTACGCGGTATGCTGTGGCAAGCCGGTGGTGATGGCAGAGACATTCAAGCTTTTGGGCTGCAAGATCTGAGTAAAACCGACGAGAAGTTTGCAGAAGAGATCAAGAAGGCGAGGATAGCCCTCGTTGAGATCTTGAGCGAGCACGACGACGTCATGGTTGAGCACTTCTTGGAACACGATGAAGACCACCTGGCTATCTCTGGACTACAAATCATGCAGTCATTACGCCGAGTCTTACTACAGGCACCACAGAAAGTCATCCCAGTCTTCGCCGGCGCCTCTTTCCGCAACATCGGCGTTCAACCGCTGCTCGACTCGGTCGTTGATCTACTCCCTTCACCACTCGAACGACCAGATCCTGAGATCAGCATCTCCAACCAAAGCAGCACACTATCATCCCTTCTCGGTGCCACAGCAGCAGCGCCAACGAAGACCACCAAGCCATCGAAGAAACAGCAGCAAAACAACGGCGAACTAGCCATCGCAGAAGTCAAAAACCTCAGCGCCTGCGCCCTCGCCTTCAAAGTCGTCAACGACGCCAAACGCGGCGTCCTAGTCTACGTCCGCGTCTACTCCGGCTCCATCGACCGCGGCGCCACCCTCTACAACACCAACCTCTCCCTCGCGGAGCGCGCACCCCGCCTGCTCAAAATGTACGCCAACGACGCCGTCGAAGTCGACAGCATCTCCGCCGGCCAAATCGGCGTGATAACCGGTCTCAAGCACGCAAGAACCGGAGACACGTTAATCGTCTACCGCGGCCTCCAAATGAAGGGCACACCGCCCGGCGGTCTTCACACCCTCCAATTGCGTCCCATCGCCGTCCCTCCCCCCGTCTTCTTCACCAGCATCGAACCGAACAGTCTCAGCGAACAGAAACACGTCCAAGAGAGTCTGGCTATCCTACTGCGTGAAGACCCCAGCTTGCACCTTTCCATCGACGAAGAATCTGGGCAGACTCATTTGGCCGGCATGGGCGATTTACATTTAGAAATCGCACGAGACAGACTACTCAACGATTTCAAAGCCAAAGCACGGATCGGAAAGATAGAAATCGGGTACAGGGAGACTATCACTACGATGACGCCAACGGAACCATACACATATACACTAGATAAACTCGTTGCGGGGAAACAGACTAAAGCAGCTATAACCGCTTCTGTGGAATCCGTGGAAGACAACAGTGTGATCCCGCTTTCCCCAGTCCAAAACCAAGTCGACGAACGACACGCCCGCTCAAACCCATTCGAAACTACATACCCCCTCCCAGACAACAACCACCTGCACATCCACCACCCCCCGCTCTCTTCCCTCGACTCTTCGGCTCATAAACAGCACATCCCCCCACACCTCTCCCTCCCCGGTATCCTGCACGCCCTCCAAGCCGGTACATCCGCAGCCCTCGCCCGCGGCCCTTTCAACGGGTTCCCCGTCGCAAATACACGCGTCAGCCTCACACTGGATGCGAGTGCGCATCTCTTCCCCGAAACAACGTCAACAGCGATATCGATGGCTGCGCGCGCGGCTGTAGGAGCGGGGTTGAGGCAGGCGAGTGAGGCGCAGCCGGCGGTGTTGATGGAACCGGTTATGAATGTGACGATTTTTGTTAATGAGGGGAGTATGGGGGCCGTGGTGCAGGATATTACGAGTTCGAGGGGTGGGCAGATTTTGTCGCTTGATGGCTCAGACTCTTCGTCCCTATCTTCTTCTTCCTCATCATCTTCTGATGACGCCCTTCCCCGCATCGACCCGCACCTTATTTACACGCCTCCCGACCCCTTTGCGTCGGGGACGGGTGATGTGGGCAGCGGCTTGAGCGATAGCCAAAGACAGATTGTAGCTAGGGTGCCGCTGAAGGAGATGGTGGGGTATTTGAATCAGTTGAGGGCGTTGACAGGCGGGAGAGGCACGTTTGTGATGAGTGTAGATGGGTTTGAGAAGATGGGAAGCCAGAGGCAGAGGGAGGTTTTGGATGCGTTGAGGGAGTTTTAGAGATCTAGAGGGAGTGAAGAGAGATGAAGTGTATGAGTAGCTAATGTAGTATAGAAAGTTGTGTGTATGTGTTCCAAACCATCTCAATGCTATGCGCGCAAGACATGCTATCTATGTATCGATCTATAATTTCCACTCATATCCCCCCTGTACATGATGACACACTCACGCCGTAAGCGCACTACTCAACCCCAGTATCCCCATTCCCGCAAACGCACTGACAAAGCACAGGCGTCTCGAATTCGTCAAATCCAGACTCTCGCCCAACAGCTGCAAGCTCACCATCGCCATAATCCCCGCAGTAACTGCAAACATGCAACCGTAAATCGTGTCCATGCCCTCATCAGCGCCGTGCTCTCGACCCCTACCTTGGATCTTGAACCACAGTGCTGCGACACCAGCACCGAGGGGCTGACTGACACCACCCAGGACGGCAGAGATGAGCATGGCTTTCCAGCGGGAGCCGATGGCAAGGTATAGGGGCAGAGCGAGAGCGAAGCCTTCGGTGATGTTGTGGATGAAGAGGGCGAGGAAGATGGAGAAGCCGAGGGTGGGGTTGGCGTGGTTGGTGGCGTAGGTGATGAAGCCTTCGGGGATTTTGTGCAGGGCGATTGCTGTGCTTGTTTGGAGACCGAGGGAAAGGAAGGCGTTTGTTGGGACGTGGTGGTGGTGTTGTTGGGCCTCCTGGTCGTGTTCGTCGTGGCTGTGGCCGTGATGGTGGTGGTGGTCAGTGTGCGATGAGGTAGTCGAGGATGAGCGGCTGTGTTTTTGGAGGGGTCGGATCTCGTGTGCTGCGTGGCCATTGGTAGACGGTAAACTTGCAAAAGAGCTTTCCATGGTGGCTGGTCCGGACTTTGTAGGTACTAGAGGTGTGGTTTCGTTCACATCCTCCAACGCTGTTCGCCGATCATGGGGTCCCTGCGAAGTTTGGCTTCTGCTCATCCCAGATGGTCGTGTAACACTCAAACTGCCTAGAGACTTCCGTGACTGCAAGCGTGAAGGCCGTACTTCACACAGATCACCATAACATTGCCCATTGTCAGTGTCGTCACATGCTTTTTCGGCACCGACAATTAGTTGCGAGACTTTGGATGACAGCGTCTTGTGAAGCGATGGTCTCTGAGGTAGGGCGGCTTTCGAGTTCACGCTACTTGTTCCGTACGAAGTATGCTCGTCATGTCCGTGGGCGTGCGGAAGACTGAGCGGCTGCTCCTGCATCGGTTGGTGAGAATGCAATTCCTCTTCTTGAAATTTCCCCTGTTCCTCGTCATCGTGTTTGCTTTCGCAGTCGACAACTGAGTGTGGAATGTATTGGTGCAGTATTCCGGAAAGGACTGAGATGCCAAGAGCACCAACAAGGAAGCACCCGATCAAAGTCAGTATCGCATTGCGCGGTGACATGCCTCCCTTTTTCAGATAGTTCTTCGCGGAAGGAAGCATGCTGTATAGTGATGAGAAGATCTTAATCTAGGTCAGCAAGAATCGAACGAAGCCCAGCAGCTCCACTCACCATGACACCAAAAGAAAGACTCAACCCGGTCGACAAGAACGCATTACTCTCTTCAATCTTAAAGTTCTTCTTGCCAGGAAAATATCGCACAATGAGGTCGACGCATATTATCGAAGCTAGCCATCTTTAGCATCTCCCCAGTCTGAAGTTCTCGGAATCCCGGTCGATGGGATCAACCGCGGGAATAAATCTCACCTCCAAATGTACATGCTGTTTACGCGTTAGCTCATGTGCTCCCCGTGAAATCCATGCAGCTTCCCGCGCAATCGTCAATCATACCTATGCCGCTGACCGCAGTCATGATCCACCCACGCGTATCGTTATCGAGAACCATGGTGCCTGCCTGCAGGTATACACTTTGGGAAATGACGTCGTTATGCCAAGCTCCTTGTCGCTTTCACGGGTAGGGGATAGTACGCGGAAATGCAAAGGCGATCAGATTGTTCTAGAGAGCGGGCGGCAGGCGGATAAGAGATGATGAAGTTTGTATGTACAAGAGGGTCCTGGTCAGATGAGGCGTCTTCTTCGCACCGTGTTGGCCTCCTAGCGCGTCTGTTCCAGTCAAGGAAAAATCGGGTTTAGCGGCTTGGCGATCGTGTGATACTCGCGCGTGGTCATTGGCTGGAGCGAACGAGGCCGGGGTATCGCGTTTCGCCTCACGTTGGATGGCAGCTACAAATGGACATACAGAGGGAGTGTCAGTACTCGAGAGCACAATCTGAGGGTCTCAGAAGGACTCTCAAAGGACACGAAGAGGGTCCTGGATATAAGTGGAAGAGTGCATGAGAGGCAGACACACTAGTGCCCAACAAGGAGGCGGTGTATGAGATCAGACACGTGAAGTATGACATCTGACTTTGTGTGGCTGACAATCATGAGGCTACTGTGACTGTGACTTTGAAATTACGACTAGATGAAAGAAGAGAACAAGCCTCCACCTTGTCGATGAACACGTATTAAAGTGTTAGACCCAAAATACTCCTAAGCATCCTTGACCAGCCCGCGCTGTGCGGCCAAGGACGTTGCTCCCTATCCGAAGCATGTTGGTGACCGTAAAGGTAAAATTCTAGAAAGCTCGGTGAGCTGCCAACGCCGTGTTTCCCATCCATCCCGCTATGCATAACAAAGGAAAATTTTGAAGTACTAAATGAAGGCCGTGAGAAAGAAGTCGTCGTCGATGGTCGTGTCTCTAGCGATCAAGACTGAGGAGGCCTCGGAACAAAGATCTTGCTCCACGAACCAGGGCCGTGTTCGGGCTTCTCGTTGATAACAAGGAGATTTGGCGATGAGCAGTAACCGCCGGGCTCTGCTCTCCTCTCCTGCTCAACGTAGTGGCCTGCACGATCGGCTTCTGTCGCATTTTGTGCAAAAGCCGCAGCTGGGTGGTCGTAGATCCAGACTTTGTCCGTCACAAGCTCCCCTGGCTCCTCAGCGAACCGGGCTTTCTTATCAGGAAAGCCGACGAAGTAGTTGAGGATGTCGTGAATCGGAGCGTAAAGACGTTCCGGGCGACGAATGAAAGAGAGCCAGCTCAGCGTCTTCTCGTCGTACGCTACTCGAACGAATGGATTCATGTATATCCTAGATTCCGCAGGTCGGCCTCTTCCAGACATGCGATACTGTAGATCCGCGTGGATCAAACAGCACTCGGAAGCCTCCCAGAAAGTTTCGTTGTCATGACGGAAGCGGAGCGGGAAGATGCTGTGATTAGGCGTCCCATTTTGCGGGTTGGCGGGTTCGGGCTGGACTCCGGTCTCTGACTGGAACCATTTGGCGTCAAAAGCCACCATGCCGCCCCAGCAACTCCGTACCCGTACCGCGTCTTTCCCTGCGAGCACATCACTTCTGCTGGTCCCTGTTCCAGCGCTGGTGAACCACGGGAAGAAGGGTAGCCCGGTGATCATGCCGTCGAAATCGCGCGTCGCGAAGCGGTCGTAGAACTTGAAGGGCATGATGTGGTCGACAGCGCATGCTGCAGCGTAGTCTGCCCGTCCAGTCGAGTCGATGTTGGTCGCGAAAAGAAGCTGCGCAGCTTCAACGGGGTCGAAGTTGACATCGTTCAGGTACAGGACCTTGTCGAATCTGACCCCAGGCTGGTCGATGGGCGCAAGGGCTCGGTTGCGCACCTCAGCAAGGAATGCGATGCGCTTGAGGCGTTTCTCGCCGTTGGGTAGCGTAATGTGGGGAAGAGAGGCGAGGTCGAGATCTTCGGATACAATGGTCGAGTTGCCTGGGGGTTGTTAGCGATCTTTGCACGGCGGCACGAGGCGAAGCGTCTCACATTTGACCTGGTCGCGGAACGAATCCAACGACTGCTTCGTCACCAAATCTGGGTTATCCTCATATATGCTCAGATGGACATTCTCTGGTCCCAGCAATTCCACCAGCTGCAGCACCTCTCTGCCCCACGCGCCAGACGTCAAGTCGCCCTTCTTTTCGGCGAGCGAGGCGGCTATGAAGACCTTCTCGTTGTAGGGGTTCGCGCGCCCAGTGTCGGTCGCTCGCTTGCGTAGCTCGTCGTAGTGCGGAGGCCTGACTGTGTAACTCGGGAAGAAGATGCCGGCAACTAGCACTAGGACGATCAAGAGGTACGGTACGGAGAATAACGTCCAGTACAGGATGCGTAGAATGGAGCGCTTTCGGCGGCGCGGGGTGACGTAGTGGGCGTATACGGCGCGATCCGAGAGCTTGTTGACTGCATTAAAGCGACTGCTCAGCCGGTTGAGCCAGGAGCGTCGTGTGTTTAAGCACTGTTCATCTTGACCGACAACAGCTTCCTCGCCATCAACATCGAGGGATTCGCGCGGAACCAGCTCATACTCGTGTATGGGCCGGCGGGAGGGTTTAAGCATCGGAGGGTCTTGGGGGGTCGAAAGGGGCCTAGTTAACTCAGGTCCGCGGGCGCCATCAAGCGATGATCGGGCGGCAGGGCTGCAGTGGAGGCGTTTTGTAGCGTTGACTACAACCACAGCGGAAGTGAGTGTTTGTATATCGGAATGGGAAGCGGCGGGAAGTAGTGAGTGACAGCAGTCGTGCACAACGCAGCGAGGTTCCGCTTCTTGGGGACGCGCAATTCACACGGACTCGCGACTGTTTGGTTGGGGTCACCCATCGCACAGGGTCCAGCTCCCTGACGACAGCCCTGGAGTGGAGCAGCGCGAACGTGCCTCGTCTTGCCTTGCCTTTTCCAGCCGCCAGCACCAACTCTAATCACGACTCAGGCCTGGATAGCCGTTTCGAGCGCCCGACCCTCGCTGGTCTGACCAGAGGCTAACCCTCCGCGCTGCGAACTGCCCACATCACAGTCGCACCACGCCCCCAGAGCAGAGCATGTCGCGAACCCTCTCACTGGCAACCCTCCTCGGCCACCGACACTGCTGCATCATCATCAACATCATCAACAAACCTTAGCCCATCCTGGCGGCTGGGCCTTCTCTCGGTGATTAGTACCGTCATCAGAATCTGCACATGGGTGGCTTGGCCAGATGCTCGGCCTCTTGGTCTTCGGTCATTTGGACCATGGGACGTCGATGCCACAAGCGAAGATCCATCTCCCGGAATCGCGCGGAGCTTTCCGTCGTACGACGCTTGCAGCAGGCGCGTACCTGGCAGCGTATCGATATACGAACGCGTGTATACATTTGCACTGCCTTACACTACTCCACAGACCTCAAACAACTGGCGCATGCCGTTGCGCAGACGCGTTGTGCCTCACAACCCATACTACCGTGATTGCTAAAGCTTACACAGCATACTCGTCACATCGCTTGATGCCCGTGTCTTACGACGTACGTGATGATATCTGATCCAACTATTGGTCGTCCCCTCATGCAGAAGAGCATCTGCCACGCTAGCGATGCAGTAACCCTGGCTTTGATCCTCCACGCTCGCAACACTATCCCCAGTCCCATCCCACCACTACTCACCTTTGTCCAGACTCGACACGGCTGACCTAGGCGAGCTGAGTGGACTTCGTAATTGCGAAATAGGAGACAGTGGCGCAGACGCAGGACTAGCCTTCGGACGACCAACACTGCCGGAAGCCGACGGTATCTTTGGTGCGTTCCGCTGCCCCTCAGAAGTTGGAGTACATGGTTCCTCAACTACCGGCACCGGCATGGGGGAGTAGCGGGGCACGTCTTGTGTTGTTGGCGAACGTTCCTGATGTGGTTTCTGCTCGGACGGTCGATCGTTCCATCCGCCGAGTTTCGGTTCTTCGTCACGGGCGCTAGCAACGACCCGTTCCCTTTCTTTGCTCTGACTTGTGTCGTCGTTTAGCTTCGTATTGGTCTCTTTCGCTTCATATCCTTCATCTCGCGGTTCGTCCTGCCTTCGTCCCTGGTTCCTCGGGCTCGTCGTCCGCTGTCTCCATCGCTCGTACGTCCGAGACCGAGGTACGCTAGAGCCTATTACAATGATTGTCAGCATACACTCCGTGGAACAAACGAGACTTCACTTTACAGACGAGCAGCGGGATCAGGGTAGCATTACTCGGTGCGGGGCGCATTCTGCTCGTGTGCAAACCCCATGGCCTTGCTCTATACCCGCTCATCGGCGTGAAAGGGGCGTACCTGGCTTGATTATCTAGTCCATCCGCCCCCGTTGTGTCGCGCATCCATTGCCGAGGATACGATCGAGGCGTATTCCACGCTCTTGTTGCTGAGTACGGATGCGGTGGGTACTCGAAGGGCAACGTATCTGCGAACCCAGGCATCGCGCGCGGTATTGACTCTCTTGGGACTTCTTGCGTGGCGCCAGACGGGTCGCTAGAGCATGACGACGACGATGACGACGATGGAGGCGCTGCTTTCTTAGGTGTCGCTTCCTTGAGCGCTTCCAGCACAATAGGTGGGTATTCATCGCAAATGTGGATGAAGTCGACTTTCTCATGCCGACGAGGGCGTTTAGCTGGAGACTTCGGCTTCACTGGAGGAGTTCTGTTATGGTTGGTTTTCGGCACATCCGTACTCATCGTCTCTGCGTAGGGTTGTCGATGTGGATACCGATCTCGAGGCTGGTACTGAGGCGGATACTGAATTGGCTCAGGCATCGTTGCGGCCATCGGTTGAAACGGCTGTTGCGGCGCGCTTGTCGGCATAGCAAAAGGTGGCATCTGAGCCGCCACTTGGTTCTGCCATGACACTGGCATCTGTTGCCGTACACCAGGATGGTGGCACACAAAATTCGCGCCCCATTGGTCTAGCCAATCGTCTGGAGGATAACATGACTGTCCGTACGATTGATGTTGTTGTGGCCCGCCAATCTGCATGACTGGCCTAGCTCTCTCTCCATCTCTGTGTCCCGCCCAATTCCCATTCCCATACACCATTCTCTGACTCTCTAAATCCCTTCCTTCATAATACTTCCTCGTCTGCGATCTTTCACTCCTTCCTCTTTCCCTCTCCCTCTTTGCAGACCTCGATCGGTGTTTCGACGGCTCTCGGTATCTCTCCGACTCCCGCTGCTCCACTTTCTCAACATAGATAACTGGCGGCGGTCCCGTTCGGTTCGGAAAAAGGAAATGAAACCAATGCTCGAGTTCGTAGCAGCGCTGGTGGATGTAGCAATGGACGTACCAGAGACCGAGGTAGACGAGTGCGGTGCCGAAGATGCCGGCGAAGACGAGGGCGACTATGAGGTTAGTCGTTGCCATGGTTCGTAACTACCTATCAGTAGCAGAGCTCAAGCCAGCCAACAACTTCTCAGCAGAAAAAACAACACAGGTAAAGCAAAGCAAAGAAGAACGAAGACACGACTTTGCATTTTTACCGTCATCCCAAACACAGTCGTACAGAACTAACCTCTAGTATGTTTGTTCGTAGACTAACACCACTAACGACAAAGCAAACAATTCAGCATGCCGTGCAACAAGCCCAATTCTTGAACATACACATGCCAACGCAGTAGTCGCACCGATGAGAATTCCCCTTGGCTCTGTAAGCTTGTGTTTTCCCATAGTTTTTGTCCCGCAACGCTTGGAGAGGCGCCTAGCTGCAAATGAAGGATATCGCCGTGGATGCTGGATATTGGGGTGTGGTACATGCGAGAGGGACAAACTCGTGCGACGGGGCGTAGCCGCTTGTGCGAGCGTGGTATGTTGTACGGAGGAGGTGAGGGAGGGGGCTGGGTAAGTGGTTTGTGTTGTGGTGGGTTGTAAGTTGTCGAGTGGAATGATGGCTGTGTTTGTGGTTAGTATATTTCTTGGTATCTCCGTAGTGATCGTTGACATACCTGATGTTGCCCAGATTGACTCTACCAGTTTCCTTTGACGTCGTTGCCACCACCTGCGTCCCATGCTGCTCCTCCTCCGCTCGTGTCCCATCCTCCTGCTGCTGCTGCCTCTTCTCCACCTGCTCCAGTGTCGTCCCAAGCAGCAGCGCCTCCATTTCCACCGCTATTACTCTTCGCTCCTCCGCTCTTCGCCTTACTCCCTCCAGCATCTCCAATCCCACCCCCATCCTTACTTCCTCCACCTCCACCTCCACTTTTGCTCTTCGCGTTACCGCTCTTCCCCCCTCCACTTCCTCCGTTACCATTTCCTCCCCCACCCGCACTCTCCCCCGCCCTTATCTCCCCACCTCCACTCTTACTCTTACTCTTCCCTCCCACGCTCTTACCACCACCTCCTCCTACTCTTATCCCAGCCTCAGCATCCCTCTGGTACCCTAGTTCGTGAACTTCCAGATCGATAGCCCGCCGACAGCTCTTCATGAGGTAGTAGCCGAAGAGACAGCAGAAGAAGGTGATGAGGACGAGGGTAAGGATTATGGCGTGGACGTAGTACATCGTGTAGAGGTGCGTGGGTGCGTGAGTGCGTGAATAGTGTTGGGGTATGGGTGCAAGGGTTGATGAGTGAGTGAGTGGATGAGTGAGTGTGACGTCGGTGTGTAGTCTTCGTATGAAAGAACAATGTAGGCGGATGGATCTGATAGCAGCGTCGATGTCGAAAGCGCAGTGGTAAATCGAGTGTCAGCGTGTTCCAATCTCGCGTTGGTATCGGGGGCCCACGGGCGACTTTGCAAAGCGCGAGACGTACTGCCCTTACTGTGCGGTCCAAGGCATGGCGCGTAGGTCAAAGTAGCGCGAGTATGAGACTCTCGTGTGGAAGCGCAGTAATGGCGGTTTAGTGTATAACTGCGATGTTGCGATATCGCGATCTAGAGAGAAATCCATCTTCACCTTCACTTTCACTTTGCTAGAAGGGATTAAAGCACATACAGTCATGTCCAACGACGTATTTCGAAACATTCCTCCAGAAGAGGAAAGTGGATTAATAGTATGGATATTGTCTAATCATCATGTATGTTATTACACAGGAACATAGTTTACTGCCCCATCATTCACTCCACCGCAGCAGCAGTCCCCGCCTCAACAGGCTTAGGATTCGCTTTCTCGCCCCCACTCGGCGTAGCAAGAGTAATACTGTCTTTTACTTCTACCTCCTTCTCCCCGTCCTTCTCCGCTTCCTCACCCTTCACCTCCTCCTGCACCGGCGCCTGCACCTTCGCAGCCGGCGTAGGTGTTGGCGGCGGCGGCGGCGCGACAACCTTCCTACTCGGACTACTCATCTCCCAAAACCGTCTCGGCACGTTCTTCGCCGGCGGCATACCCAGGAAGCCCTTTCCACCCATACTCTCCAGGGGTTTGGCTCTGCCTCCCACATAACATCCCAAATCGCCGCTCCAGACGAAACCGCCTCCTACCACACCTCTCAATACGCCGAAAGCGCGGGCGTCGCGGTAGGCGATACCTGTTTCCGGGTCGCGGTATCGGGCTATGGTGTTGGTGATAGGACACAGCTTTTGGCCTGGTTTGAGGACGATCTCGGGCTCGGCTTTGGGCGCAGCGTTCTTCCGAGGTGGTTTTGGCGGCGCGATGAGGGTTTGTTGGATGTAGTTTGCTGCTTCCGCTGAGGTCCAGTTGAAGAGTGCTGTGTACAGCTGTACCAGAGCTGACTTGTCCTTTTCTTTGAGGAGCGAGGCTGCTGTCCTGGCTCGTGAGGAGGATGTTGGTGGGGCTTCTAGGTTGGGGAAGTTGGAGAGGATGAGGAGGTTGCGGAGAGCTCGACGTATGACTTTGCGTCGCGGTGGCTGAGGGGGTAAGGCGGGTTTTTGAAACTGTGCGAGGAGGGCTTGGGGGCCGATTGCTGAGTCGCCGTTTTGCTGGGGTAGAGAGGGATGTAATTGGTTGTAGAGAGCTGTTTGTGCGTCTGAAGGTTGATTTTGGAAGGAGGAGGCTTCTGTAAAGGGGAACGGAGGAAGTTCGTTGCCATGCATGGGCTGAGATTGCTGGTCTTGGGCGTATTGGTCGATACCATAGAGGAAGGAGTCTTGGCTTGGTGGTGCGAACATGACAGTGCTCGGATGTTGCATGCCGAACGAGCCCATGAACACGTCGCCGCCTTGTGATGCTGCTGCTGTCCATGGTTGTTGTGAGTTATCTTGTTGTGGGGGCATGGTTGCGGGTATTGGCGACATGTGTGTTGAGCTACTGAACTGATCAAGAGACGGAAAAGAAGGCTGTGAATTATCTGCATGGTTATCCGGAGCTTGTACCGGTAGCTGTGTGGACTCTGGCTGAGTTGCCGTCTCCGCAACTGTGACCTCTTTGTTGAGCTTTTCCTCGAGATGCTCCAGACTCGGTGCGTCCTTGCCTGTGTACTTGAGCTTATCATCGACCCAGATGCCCGGTCCGCTGTAGTATCGGTAGAAGGGCCCATCGATCTGTCGATTCTTGAGGGCGTCAATCTTGGCCTGCCTCTCCGCTGCCCTGGCTTCCTCTGCCTCCTCCCATCTGTGTAAGGTTTTCTTGTTGATGCGCTCATTCCGAGCAGCCTCAGCAAGCCTCTCAGCCTGCGTCAAAGGTTTCTCCTTGGACTTCATCTTCCGTGCCTCTGCAGCCTTCATCATAGCCAGGGTGTCATCGCGCCTCCGGTCCTTCTCCTTCAGCTTGGCCAGCGTGGCATCCTTGTTTGCCACTGTTTGTTTGCGCATCGACATTCGGACCGGGCCATCCTCTTCGGTGGGTAGCCATGATGCCCTTTCGGACTTCTTCTTGGGTCGCGGAGGCGCAAGCGTGGGCGACTGTGTGCGGGGGACATCGAGCTTGACCTTCTTGCGTGCTTGGGCGGCGACTCGTGCGGTGAAGGGATTCGTCGTGGCTTTGCGCTTCTTATTGCGCTCTTGTCGCTCGGCCTTGCGCAGCTCCTTCTCGCCCGCCTCTTCCTCGTCCGCATCCTCATCACCCTCTTCTGACGATGACGAATCCATGTTGTAGTCCTCCTGCTCGTTGACATCACCGCCTTGGAACTCCTCCTCGTTTGGCGCTTCCTCCCACTCCTCGCCCCATTCCTCCTCCTCGACCGATTTGGCGAGCAGGATGGACATGCGATTGCCGGCATTGGATCGCTTGGCCCTGGACGTGACCATGAGCTCCGCAGGCGCTTCCTCCTCGCTCTCATCCTCGGATGCCTCCGACTCGTCATCGCGATGTGACGGCGGGGCATCCTCCATGGCTGCCTGGGGTGGCTCTTCGGACATGGTGAATTAGAAGTCCGGCGGCAGGCGCGAAGTAGGCGGGGAAGGTGCAGGCGAGGGGACTGGAGCCTGAGGCAAAGCGAGTCGGACGGCAGCGATCAAGGTTTGGGCGAGGCTTTCCAGAAGGATTCCATGCGACAGCGACACGGATTATGCGCTCCAGCTGTGGGGTGAACGGTTGGCAGCATGGACTGCAGGGCGGCAGATTCGTCTGAAGTGCGGTATTATGCGTATTGTTTCAAGCGGCGTGATGGCAGCATGTCGTGAATTCAGAGCACGCGCCAGCATGACGCGACGGGCCATGGAAAGTCGCCAAGTCAGCAGTAAGGCTTGGCGCGGCCCGTCTGCATCTGAAACTTAGTGCGCCTATGATAGAATCAGATAGATAAACGTCGTTCCAAGGTACCGCACCATCGGCTGTCAACGCCTCACTAAAGCTCTTTGGGTCTGCGTGGCCTGTCAGCCTGTCTACTTCAGGACGTGCAGCACAAGGCATATCCGCCGTGGTCTGACATATATGTTTTCCAGAAGGGTCGTTTCGACTGTGTGGATGCTGCGTCGATGCATTGCAGGGTCGTAGTCTGTAGTCTTGATTGCGTGCCACATTGTATGCTAGATGATAGCAGAGACTCAGTAATGGCGTACGCATCGGGCTCAGAAAGTCTAATAGGCCGTTGGTATGCATGCAGGACCCCAACGCACCTCCATCCATGTTTAGCAGCAGCAGGCCAATCACGTCTCATGGCCGGGCAGAGGCACACAGTGTCCACGTCAGATTCTGGAGTAACGGACTTTCTCGACGCGCCTCTGTGTTTCAGACGCTGGCGGGCACGCGCTGCTCTGTCCCGCGGCCACCCACTAAGGACACAATTGCAGGACGCAGCCCTGGAGCCACCCGGGCGCCCTTTGTGTGCCCCTGAATTGTACAAAAGCAAAGCACCGCAGCCGTGCCATCGCAACCCTCACTCGCCGTTGCACTTAACAGCCCACCTACAACCGTAGCCGACCGCGCAGATCGTGCCGTAACCTGTAACGTGCTTGTTCTGGCAGCCCGCCCAATTGAGCTAGTTCCCTCGTGTTCCTGGTGGCTCCCCATTTCTATCAAGCGAACCTCACCATTCATTCCCTCGCAAGCATCGCTCCATCGCTCATCGCTCTCTTGCTCCCGCCTGCGACAACTAGCTGTATCCGCCTCCGCACGAGCTCGCATGCATTATCGGCCCTCGTCCGCTTAATCCTATTACTTCTGTTCTCCAGGCACTCCGGTGATCTGTCTATTCCGCCCGCCTGCTGCTGTACAGCACCCGTACCATAATCGACACCCGCCCAGTCTCCGTCACTCCTTCGCGGCCTCCCTCGCCGTCGAGCTGCACCACCGCCCCCGGACTGGATCCAACCCGTGTTGTCGTCTTCACTGTACACCAGGCTGCGCTGTGCTGAGCCCGGTCTTGCTGGCAATAATCCCTCGCCTCACATTCCTTTGGCCGGCACCAACCCTCCTTCGATCCCTTACCCTGGCTTTGGTAACCGAGTCACGACGACTATTCTTCCCTATTAGACTACCCAGGTCACCGCAGGGTCTGTAATCCATAATGGCTCCCACCACCAACCGCCCCGAACACCACATCAACCTCAACTACATCCCCCAGCTGCCCCAGCCGCCGCACTCGGGCTCCTCGACGGGCAACACCTCGCCCGTTGAGCCTCCCAACAGCGGCCCTCTGCGCTTCGCTGGCAATGCCCCGAACCCGCTCGGCAACGCGAGGCTCGGCAACGGGTCCCCGTCGCATGAGTATGGCAGCCGCCTATTTTCCAAACGGTATGTCGCACCCTGAAACAAGTTCCGACTCGTGCTAATGCCCTGACAGTGCACGCGAGATTCAGGCACAGGAGGGCTTAACTCCGCAAATGTGGGGACCTCCTACCAGCGGGAATTCCACGCCGCTGCGCGAGACCATCCCGGAGTCCCCCAACAGCGAGAACTTGAGCTTCCCCGACTTCAACAACGCCGTGCCAGACACCATGTCAGCTGCACCCGCTCCCAACCGCCGCGCCCGCGCTGGCACCCTGCCCTCCCGCTTCTCCCCCTCCGCTGCCCCTCCCGGCCTCATGTCCGGCTCCTCGCTGCTTCCCAAGAGCTCCCGACCAACGCCCTCGACGAGCCCCTTCAAGCCAGGGCCAGGCACACCAACCGACAACTCGAGCTTCAACGCGCTTGGGTCTACAAACGCTGCGGCCAAGTCTGCACTGCTCTCACGTCTGCGTGCTGGCTCAATGCCTCAGCGACCGGGTGGCTACCTCCCTCCCTCCAACTCGCCGTTCGGCAACTCCATCTTCTCGGGCGGCTGGTCAAACCAGCGTGACCGCAGCAGCACACTCCAGAGCATTGCCTCGGTGCCCTCAAACGGACAAGGCTCGCCAAGGTCTTCCTTCTCCCGCGACTCGCTCGCCGACACCGATGTCAAGACCCTGGACTACCTTGGTCTAGTCGACACCCCGCAGCCTGCACGAGCTACCCTGGCTCCGTCCGACATCGAGCTCCTCCTCGAGAGCCAGAGGAACGCCAACAACCAGAACTCTGGTGGTGCAAACCGCTTCCGTTCCTACTCTGTCAACGCCAAGGAGAAGTACGCCGAAGAGGAGGAGGATCAATATGGCGCATACAGCGGCACCATCACTCCTGCCGAAGCCAACGCACTTCTCATTCACGAAGCTGTTCGCCAACACAACCTCGAAGTTCAGGCCTTTGCGAACCTCGCCTCAAACGCGCGCCCACGTGCTCGCACCGCGGGCGTGTTAGATGCTCCTTCGCGGGGCATGATGCGGCCCTACTTGCCCGCCATGGGCCGGTTTGACAACGGCATGGGAACCGGTGACTTGACTGAGGATGCAGAGTACAATCTCACTGAGGCTGTCAAGAAGCTACACTTGCCCGGCTCCAACCTCGGCGACGATGGAACTCTGGAAGGACCCACTCGATCGCTGTGGCTCGGCAACATTCCGTCGTCGACCACTGTCTCGTCGCTCCAAGTCATCTTCGCCCAGTACGGTGGCATTGAGTCTACTCGCGTCCTCACACACAAGAACTGCGGTTTCGTCAACTACGAAAATCTCGAGAGTGCAGTCCAGGCGAAGTCAACTCTGAACGGAAAGGAGATCTTCCCAGGTGCTGGCCCCGTCCGCATCGGTTACGCTAAGATTCCAAGCGCAGCAGCTACCCCCGGCCACAATGGTCTGTTCCCTTCACCAAGCCCTGACCCACTGTCAAAGGCTCAGGCTGAGGGCACAGCTGGCTCTGCCGCCGCTACCAAGGTTGCTAACATCCCTGCGAATGTGCCTTTGACCACCCCAGAGCTCAGTGACATCCGCAGCGACATCATCCAGATTGTGAAGGAGCTCGGCGCCACCGACGACGAGCAGTCAAGGATCACCACCAAGGTCGAGAAGGCTGTCCAGTTCAACAACTACGTCGACGAGATCCCGTCTGTCGAAGAGCCGAGCCACACTCGCATTCACGACGCTCCTAGACTGCGAGAGATCCGCAAGCGCATCGACAATGGATCCTGCTCCAAGGAGGACATTGAGAACATCGCCATGGCCATGCTACCGGAAATCGCTGAGCTGTCTTCTGACTACCTTGGAAACACTGTCGTGCAGAAGCTGTTCGAGTTCTGCGAGGAGCCTACCAAGGAAGCCATGCTTCGCGAGATTGCACCCCACCTAGCCAAGATTGGTGTGCACAAGAACGGAACATGGGCTGCGCAGAAGATTATCGATGTATCCAAGTCCGAGACTATGCAGAAGATGGTCGTGGATGCTGTTCAACCTTATGCCATGGCTCTTTTCCTCGACCAATTCGGTAACTACGTCATGCAAGGCTGCCTCAAGTACCAGAAGTTCAATGACTTCATCTTTGAGGTCATGCTGGGCAGACTCTGGGATCTCGCCCAAGGTCGATTCGGTGCCCGTGCTATGCGAGCTTGCTTGGAGAGCCACTATGCCACCAAGGACCAGCAGCGCATGGTAGCTGCTGCAATCGCTCTTCACAGCGTGCAGCTCGCAACCAACGCGAACGGTGCCTTGCTCCTGACCTGGTTCCTCGATACCTGCACTTTCCCAAGGAGGCGTACGGTCTTGGCTCCCCGCCTAGTCCCCCACATTGTCCACCTCTGCACACACAAGGTTGCATACCTCACCGTCCTGAAGATCATCAACCAGCGCAACGAGCCAGAAGCTCGTGACACCATCCTACAGGCACTCTTCTTCTCTCCCAACGACCAGGTACTGGAAAGCATCTTGGCCGACCAGAACTGCGGTGCCACCTTGATCTTCAAGGTACTCACCACTCCATTCTTCGATGAGCAGATCCGTGCGGATGTAGTAACAAACGTTCGCAACGTTCTTCTTCGCATCAAGGCGCAGCCCCAACAGGGCTACAAGCGACTCATGGATGAGGTAGGTCTTTCCACTCGTGGCGGACCTGGTCATCGTGAGCACTCCGCAACCCGCCCAGCGTCGAAGGACAGTATTGCATCTGGACCGCCAAACCCTGGGCAATTTTATCAGGGAGCGGCAGCTGGCTTCGACCCTGTCGCACTCCAGCGCACGGCAAGCATGGACTCCAATGGCTTCGAGCAATACCCAATGGGTGGTGGACCCATGTACATGCCAAACATGCAGGCCATGAACAACCAGCAGCAGATGCAATACCAGCAGCTCCTGGCCCGACAGGGTCAGTTCTACCCTCAGATGAACGGCTTCCAAGGCCCTGTTCCGGGCATGGATGCCTACCGCAACGCATCACCTGTCGCGGGCCCCGGTAGCTTCAACGGGTCACCGATGATGCAGCCCGCCAACCTCGCCGGCCAGGGCATGCCCGGCATGTACCCTCCTTACGGCATGTACATGCCACCTCAGCATCAGCAGGCGGCTGGAGGCAACCAGCGACGTGGCAGAGTAAGCAGAAATGCGTCCCCTGCTAACAGCGTTCGCCGTTAACGTCTCTTCAGAGATAAATATCGCCCCGCCTGAGGGTTTGGATTCTCATCTCCTCTTAGAATTTACTGTGTTGCCAGGAAAAGCAGCACTATCTTCCTGTATATGATTCGGATCTTCACCTACAACGCATCTGCTAGCGAGCATTTTTTTGCAAAGCGGCATAACACCATACTTGCCATGTCTTCTCCTTTGCTGTCTTCGGACTCTTACGATTTTCATATCCTTTCTTCACTCAATCGGCACATGGGCTATCTGTCGGCCGACGATCGTCCTGTCTCGTCACTCGCTTAACCACCTTGCTTGGGTGTTTCGGGGCGTACTCTTTGGAGCTTGTATGTCGTTTCGAAATGAAGAGGAGCTTACCTTTGTGGGCTCTTGTCGATCGATCGGATGATCACTGTATCGATATGAAATGCGCATATGAGAGTTTGGTTGGAATGATATATGCGACTGGTGACGCCGCAAAAGTACCGTTACAATGGCATGATGTTTTGGATTTGGGAATCTTTGCACATCGATCTTCTGTCTTCGTGGACTGCATGGTGGATGGAGGTGCGGGACCGGGCTCGAGCCTGCGAGCTAGATAGAATCGAGGCCTCTTTCAGTCTATCATCGCATCGCCGTCTTTGTGTTATGACAGTCAATGTGTGTCGTCTTGTACCACCCAAAGAGTGAGTCAATCAACGGTATCATGACTCTTGCTCGTGCACGTACAACATCCTGAGCAAGGAACACATATGACTATACTTGCTGGCTCATGCTTTATCGTGATATCGTTACAGTCACTTGGTAGTATCTAATCACATACATGCATAAATATTTCCTCTACATCTTCAGGACATTCTATCCCACTACTACAAGTTACTCAGACCTCCAATGGATCCTCCCGAAAGCAACAAGAATATGCCTGCTGCAGAAACGCAGGAAGTTGCAAAAACACAGAAAGCCTGGCCTCTACAACATTACTGGGAGGGGGAAATAACAACTGGCTATACAAACTCCGAGAAACTGAGAAAGCTCCACCAAAAGCTTTTCCCGGAGTTCTACAAAGATGAGAACAAACGCGGGGACGATCACCAGTGGGACCCCATTGAGATTAAAGGTGAACGTATGCTGTACTCGTACCAACGTCGCGATGGGGCGGCTCGGGATCTCAAGAAAGAATTCCCCGAGTTTGAATGGCCTGAGGGAGACGTGTGGGGGTCTGGCAGGCGTGAGTTTGTTCAGGAAGAACTGCTTCGGACAGGTGTGCTAAGCTTATTTGCAGTCCTTAAAGAGATGAGAAAAGCGCACCGGTCATACAAAGACGAAGCAGCAGATGCAGTATCGAAAGCGAAGGAAGATAGTGACGGAAAGGGAGAGGAGATGGAGAAGCTGAAGGGTGACGCTTAGCCTAGTCCTCAGCGATGAATCTGATTGTGTCTATGGTGTCAGTTCTCGACCTTTGACTCAACGTCGACTCAGCGGAGAACTTAAGAGTCAGTGTACTTACTTAAGATCTTGGTGTATCTAAGGGTATCCTGGGACATCATCAACCCTTCACACACAGCTTCACTGCGCCCTAATAGTTTAGCAGAGAACATGTCTATACCGGCCAAGTCGAAGGTCTACTTGGTAACATACCCCGCAACGCTCCCCAAAGAAGGCACCATTCCTGTCGAAGAGAAGATCGAGGCTCTCACAAACTATCCATATGCCCTGAAATTAGTCGGCCTTGAGGAGGATGGTCTGGATAAAGATGGTAAAGAGGTCCCAGGATGGAGCATCAAATACATTGGCATCATGACCGCAGAGGAGGCTCGCCAAAAGTACAGTTTCGACGATGGTGAGCCCGTAGAAATTGAAGAGGGCGGCGAATGGCAATGTTACGAAAAGGGTCAATGGGCCACTCCTGGACGTACGTCAAGTTACTCAGAACCAAACAGAAGTTCAACAACTAATGTAGAAACTAGTTCTGGCAAGGATCAGGCTTACCAGGGTTTACAAGATCCCATATCGTATTAGCGAGCATAGCCCTTTCATCGACGGCCATACTAATGAGTACCATATTGCCGAAGTCTTCCACGAACCGGTGTTGTGTCCGCCCCTGATGTTTGAGATAAACGAATGGCTTGTTGCCGAGAACAAGAAACAACTTCAAGAAGCCAAAGACAGTGATGAAGGATGGGTGCCTCTCCACCCGGATATCGCGAAGGGGCCCGGCGGATGGATTACCACAGGCTGTGAGTCCTCATGTAATCCACAGAATAATGCCACGCTAAACGATAATCTAGTTCAAGATGCCTACCTTCAGTTGCTAGATCAGAGGAAGAATGGCAAAGACAAGAAGGCAGTGGAAGTGGGAGGCAAAATTAAATCTCCTGGTTTCTTCCAAAGGTGGTTCGGCGGGGGGAACTAGCCACGAGTGTAGTGACTGGGATTGCAATCTCGAGTCTAGATATTTGCCAATGGAGCAACGTCTTCCAGCTCGTGCAAATAGTTGTGCGATGAAATAAAAATACCGAGATAAGCCCCATCAGCTTTACGAACTCGCTGAAGTTTCTGTGACTGTTCAACCCCTGACTTCCGATAGATTGTGTCGTTACATTGCAAGTAAGAGTCATGAAGAAGGGTGTGACATGCCTACTCATCAATACAAAGTTACTCACCGTTTAGATATCGTAGATCATTGTTATAGTCATCATCGCAGTCACCATCGTATCTGGGCAGTCACCGCGCTGACATTTTGTCTTGACTCACCTGCTGAATCATATCCATAGATAGTCACTACTCTACGCTCATACCTCATGCTGTCATTATGGCAGTCAGCGTGCGAACGCTTATATCTTGGTGTATCTGCGCTTACACTTCAACACACTCTTCACAACACCATTACTTCGACCAAATCTGTTCGTATACATCCATGGATAACTCGATACCTGACTCACTTATTGACTTGACGATAGAGCCAGAGCTCTATCTTGTCGTCTTTCCCACGGAGTTTCCTCCAGAGGGAGAATGCGATGAACAGGACATCGACATCGGCTTCACTAATTCTCCCGCTATAGGGGAACTCATGGAGAGATCTACCAGAGACCCCAACCTACCAAAATGGGAATTTGTGGACCTGAGTCACCTGAGCAAAATCGCCAAGGAGCGGATATTGATGAAGCATAATATCAAAAAAGAAGACTGCGTGAAGGTGAAGGGGTGGGATAAAGAAGACTACGGCTTGTGGATCACTCCTGGACGTACGTACAATTCTGAAGTATTATACGGCAGTAAACGTGCTGACACGGTAAATAGTACTCTCCGCACTGGAACTAGCCAAAGTATACAACATACAATACGAATGGAATTCCAGCGAAAAATGCTTTGCAAAGACTGGCTACACAAACAAGCACGCTATTGCGGGCAAGGTTAAAGCTGCCGAGCGCCTGGGTTGGAGGTGGAAAATAAATGTGACGGTTATCCTAGTGAAGAACGAGGAAGAGCTTACGAAGCTGCGGGATGAGGATGGGGGACCTAAGCGAATTGCGTTATGGGAATGCGAGGGTGAGGGGGTCGAAGGTTGGATTACAGATGGCTGTAAGTTCTATCTGCAACGTTGCAAAGAGTGGCATGAATCGATGCTAAGCATTGATACAGTAAATCGTTCACGCAAGGCATGTCTTGAGCATGAGAGAAAGCGCCGGGAAGAACTGGAACCCTTGCGCCTTAATCCTCCAATGTTTCCATTGCGATAAGTGAAGGTACAGCTCGAGCCCCAGGTTTTGCCGATGGGCTTGTGGTTTCTAGTTTATGTCTCCGGCTTTACGATTCCAAATGGCATTTTATCTGGTTCTTTCCGCTATGTATATCATAGACATATCTCATCATGCTTTAACCCCTGGCTCAGATGTGATTCACTGCAGTTAACAGTCACAGTTCAAAATACCACGACTCGCTATTTGACGCACCATGTTGATATAGCGATTCTAAGAGTCATTTGGCATGTGTCAGACTACGTTGTGTTCAACAGTAACTCACATCATCGAATCTGAGATCTCTACGCAACACTTCACTGCATCACACTGCACCATATTACATCAATTAGATCGCCAACACCTATAGCGACGATGCCGCGAATCTGCTCGATATACTTTCCCCAAAACCTCCCCAAACCAGGCGTCCTCCCTAGCAATGATAACATTGATGGCATAACAAACCACGCATTCCTGAGAACACTTATCGACGAGCTCATCGAAAGGCCAGGCTTCCAGGGATGGGAAGCCGAAGACCTACGTAAAGTCACGAGAAAAGCGCTTAAAAGGAAGAAAGAGGAATACGAAGACGAAGGCCTAGTAGAGATCCTTGGCGAAGAGTGGAAGGCTGATAATAATGGTCGGTGGGCTACTCCTGGATGTGTGTAAAGTGACGCAAACCCAGAATGCGCCTAGTCTATGAACGTGTCTAGTGATGAAAGTACTCCGTAGCTGCAGATACTACGAAATAACTTATCGTTTCCGGCCTCGCACTGGCTCACCAGACGTCTACAAGACGGGCTACACGAACAGCTACTCCATCGCTAAGGGAATTGAGCGCATTTTGAAGTTGCCAGGGCGGCCGTATTCGCGATTCGACAAATACGACGTAAAGCTAGTTGCTAGCGAGAAGGATTTCAAGAGATACCAAGACAGTGATGGTAGGTGTGAGCGCCTCTTCAAGGAGGGGGTAGATGGGGAGATAATTGATGACGGATGGATCACGAAAGGCTGTAAGTTGATCTTGGGTTGGTGAAGAGCGTGCCGCAGAAGTTATGCTAAACAACAGTCTAGTGTTTGCCGTGTGTCAAGTGGCTGCGGAATTAATTCCCAAAAAGAAGCGGAGGCGCAGGAAGGCCCACAAGGTCCGACGTGAACACTATTCCACTAAGGCCTAGTGTAGAAATCGATGGACTCAGTCATGTCGATTAAGATCGTACCCAAGTAATTGAGACTACTTCCCCTTTGACTGACTTATCTAATCACGGTGAACTGTCACCACGTACAGCTATGACCAGCCTTTCGTTGTCACAGGTATACTCACCATTATAAGGTCAGCATTCACCATCGCAGTCATCAGCGCAATGATCATCACAGTCACAGCGCAGGCGTGTATGTCCTGGTACGTTTAGTACCTCGAACACTTCCTAACACTGCACTACAACGAACAACTCTGCTGACTATTCGTATAAAATCTCAAACCGAAACCCTCCTCCACCTCATCAACGATGTCGGAATTCTACACGATAGTCTGCTTCACGAAGAGCAATGCGTCCCTTGAATACGAGTACACGGACTCTTCCTACCTTTTGAGCCGTGTACCCGATCTAGCAAAGACTCTAGCCGGCGCAATCTTGAGAGTTCATAAGGGCGGCGATGTATATAAGCAGGAGTATGGGGTATCCCAGCTTCCTGACGGAAGAGCTGTAGTTGTCGACGAAAGATGGGGTTTAACCAAAAAGCGGTTGGTCACCCCTGGATGTGAGTACCACTCTGCAAAGCTATACAAGGCTCAGTGAACTCACGTTTTGCGAAGTAATGTCAAAGCTGAATGAAGCCTGGCTATTACTGGACATGCAAAAGGTCCACAAGATCACCTATTGTGACAGTATGGGAAGCACAAAATCCAAGACTGGCTATACAAACAGCCCGCAACTCATGAGGATCATCAGACTCATCATCGCGCAGCTGCCCTCGGAGTCATGGGCTTGTGAGCCTGTTTTCCCCAAGAACGAGAAAGAATTGAAGGCACTTCAAGATAGTGATGGTGAGGAGTGCAGTCGCTGGAATAGAAGTGAGGGAGAGGAAGGTCACGACGACGAGGAAGAAGGCGGAGATGATGGATGGTGCACGAAAGGACGTGAGTATCTCTTTGAGTATCCAGAGGAGTGTGAGAGATGCTGACAGGATCTCTAGTGCGGCTTGCATACGAAACATTTGCACTCGAAGCGCTCAAGGCCTTGGACGAAAAGGAACAGAGAAAAGAAGAGAAGGTAGGAGCGTCGGGAGCGGCGGGAGAGTCTTAGACATACTTGCGTACAACGAATCTGGATCAGAGCTTTTTGAAGGTATTCAATACACATGAACGAATTCACTGGTTGCTCATCGATATTCACCCTTTGCCCCAGGTTTACTCGTCGTGTGGTTACTATGACTGTCCATGGAGTCATAGCAACATAACTTTGGATGACTGTAACCAACGTGTGTCTATGCATTTACTTAGATGTGAACACCACTGCAAAATGATACCCAAACATCTACTAATCGTAACCCGACAAGCGATCTCCACCTCTTCTATTCACCCCGGTACCCGAAACCCCCAGAGAAACTTCCCATCCACCCATCAAAAGATGGCAGCCACCACCTCAGCGATTTTCCAAGTCATACACCTCCTCGGCATAGACTTTACATCCTCATCCTCAGTCGCCCAAAGCATTGGCAAAGCGAAAAAAGTACAACTGGCTCATCATACGATACGAATATCCCAACGACGAAGAGGGCAAGACGTTCATCAAATATCTGACAGCAAATCGAGGCAATAATTCCCAAAAGGTTCTGAAGGACTGGCAAAAGAGATTGCTACAATCGGAAGTGGCAAGGGGCGCTGGAGTGCACTGGGGTAGGGAGCGGATGACCCGTAACTGTACGTATATCCAGTTGGCTCAACAATGTACATAGATTGCTAATGGAAAGGACAGTGTATATGATCTTCAAAGAGGCTAGGGAGGGTAAGGAGGGCAGCGATGAGTCTTTGAAGCATATGCTGGATGTGTTTATGGGGAAGAGATGATAAGGATGGGGCTCATTGCACATACCTACGGGGAAACGGAGCGAGGCATCATGATAACGGCTACCTTTTCAGGTAGCCTGGAGTCAGACCATCAAAGCAACACCATACTGAGAACAACAAAGCTTCAATTTTTGCCGCCCTACATAAACTGAGCGTGGGTATCATGAACTGCCTAAACGCGCCGTAACTCCCTGACGGATACAATTACATCTTAAACATTGCAAAACATTGCTGATAGCAAACCCTGGAGGTCCTCATCGCGTCGAAACCCAAACGCTCAGTGACCGTTGAGACCGTCGCTGAATTTTCGCTTTTTAGCCTCGCGTTCGCCGTCCTGCGGAGGGCGGTATTGGTCCAGCTTGCCCTGTAAACGATATGTCTCGCGTTTGATATTCTCTGCGTTGGCCAAAAGGTCCATCTCGGTGACCGGAGCTTCAATACTAGCCAGCACGCTCCTAACAGTGCTGATATGATTGGCGTCCTTCTTGTCGTCGCGCCAGCGCGGCGTACCGTCCGCCTCAGCCTTGTATTTCCACTGTCCACCTTCTGTGCGGTAACATTCTATGATACGGCCGTCGAGGCGTTGGTTCAGGGATTTGAGCGTCTCCCACTCGGCGGGGGTGACGGAGAGAGTGGCGAAGACTTCGTAGTGGTTCGAGTTGTGCTGCACGAGCAGTTGGAGGGGGGTGGGCATGGCGTCGTAGTCGGGGATGAGGCCGTCTTCGCCGTCTTGTGGGTCTATGAGCGGGAAGTCGCCGAGGCGGAGCTTGAAGTCAATGGTGTTCTCGTGTGGTGGCTTCCACTTGAGGATGTGTCTGTCGGTACCGAACTGGTAGGGTGTGGATACGCAGGTGAAGATCAGGCCGTCGTTGCCGTGTCTGAGGTTGGGGAGGATGCTGCTGAACATGTCCTCGAGCTTGTATGCAGGGTAGGTCTTCTTTCCTTTGAGTGCAAACGGCTTCAGGTCGTCTGGTGTAATGTTCTTGCCAAACGTCCTAGTCAAGCCGGCTTCGTACGGCTTAATGACCCATTCATGCAGCCGGCCCAACCGCTTGTCCAGTGTCCTTTGCGTCACATTTGTATTATCCACCGCCAAGCAATCGAAGACATAGAAGTTGAGACGTGGCGCAGGCTCGTTCGGATATTGGTCGTGGACCAGCTCGCCGTCCAGAAGGGTTCCGAATAAGAATGGCTCGGCTTCGTTCAGGTGCTGGTAGTGACGTATGCGAAATGGAGGCTGGACGTTGTAGTAGTTGTTCTTCCTGTCGATCAGGAAAGTCACAGGCTCGAAAGCTCCTGTCGGTCCCTCTTGCCAGTGCAGGTAGAGCAGGCAGCGCAAGCCGTCCGTCTTCTCGCACATGTAGTATTCATTGCGCTGGAGCTCCGTGACGTGTTCGCGCGAGAAGGATACGGGTTGCGCGCCGGGAAAGCGTGGGTTGTCGCGTTCGAGGAGTTCGGCGACAGACTGCTTGAGTGAATGCGCCTCGTCATTTGGGATCTGGAAGCCTGGAATCTGGGGCGGCGCGTGCGATGGTAGCGCGGCGGCCGGCATGTTGAGAAGATGCGGGGGGTATTCGAGGCTCCGCAAGAGTTGGGACGTCGAGCGCGATGGATTCCGTACGCGGGGGCGGTTGGAGGAGGGTTGGTCTACCTTCGCGGTCGCAACAGTAGTTGTACAAGCAATGGATCTGCCGGGCGAGCTTACGCGCTAGTGAAGGGTCTGCTTATGTAATCGCTGGCTGCGGCTGCCTAGGCACGGCTGTGGCATGGCCCATCATGCTTCTGACCTCGCTAAGATTCAGGGAAGCCTTGATGTATCCGCAGTACAGTTCCCATCATGCCGACTGTTTCTTTTTCGCATCAATTCCGTTAAACGTCATTTTGCCAGCGTACCGACTGCCCGATATAGTCTGTTGCAACCATGGTACTACGACTGCGCACAACGCCGCGCCTATAAGCCATTACCAAGCACATGACACCAACATGAAAACTGAAAACTCAGAGGCATAAATTCCTTTGCTCTTGCCGAGACTTCTCCCCCTCTTCAACAAAATCACCACAATTCTCACATCCAGTCACTACCAGACCCAACACTCACGATGAGCGACTTGCCCACAGAGATATGGGCCATGGTGTTCGCATATTCCGACGATACCGAACACCTCTGGCTTTCCTGCCGTCACGTCTCCAGCAATCTAAAGGCGGCCGTCGAAATATACACCAGCACCATCTTCCTCCCAAACTTCCTCACAGTATCGCTCAAATATCTGACAAAAAACCAATGCATCATACGTTGCAAACGCGGTACTTTCAAAGGATACTCCCCAGACAAAAAGGTCATTTACTTCGATATGAGCCGCGACGACCGGCCATGCATCGAGTATGTTGACACACAGAGAATGTGTCTCTCCGTCGACAGACTACAAATGGAAACGCCAGATAGGCGGTTTGGAGTGTTAGCGAACTCGAAAGGGCCAGATCACGATCGTTCATTCTTGGTCAGACTTTTGGATGGCGTTACGGCTAGCCCTGCGGATAGTAACCAAGGATGGCTCACCTTTGGGCTCGACTTGAATGATAAGATCCTGTCCTTTGACTGGCGAGAGGTCATGACGAAGAGCTTCATGGATAGTACTGATTCGGAAGGACTCCTTATCGACAACTTATTGTGGCGCGTGCGTGATCGCAGGTTTCCCTGGTGGATTTAGTGGTGGCTTTGGGCTGGCCTATCAGAGATGGACTTGAACATGTCAGGGGAGGGACAACAAAGAACCCTTGTAAACAATGCGGCGAAGAAGTCCTACGAGGGCTGTATGTCGCGATCAAGAACATTTTGGCAGTACATTAGAGGTATGGTTTGTGTTGAATCTCAGTCAAAGGGTACATGGTCTAATGGCAAAGGCGCCCACTCTTACGCAAGTGAGAGTGACGCTGGACCCAGCCGGTAACGGTTGGAACCCCAGCGGAGAGGAGATGCGGGTTCGAGTCTCGCTGTATCCACTTACATTTTACTGCTTGTATTATTTTTGTCTTCATAGTTGTCATCTCGTTCTAGAATTGTGCTTCTTGGTCGATACATAGTCCTAGCTAGTCTGAAGACTAGAGACTGCTGTACTTTAGCTATCTCGTCGAACAAAACTAAGGATGACACAGACTATTTCATGTATCCTTTTCACTAGAACACCAGGCCTCATACTTGGAGAGAGCGCCTCAGTATCCAAGCTTTCACTCGATTTGACGCCACCTCCTCGTACTATGGAAGGTCTGCGCTTTTTCCTCGAAAGGGCAGATTGCGTGTTCTAGTATAGGCTTTCAAGTTTCCGAAGAGCAACCCATGCATAACTCCACCGAAACCGCAATGTTGTTGCCAACCCTTTCTCTCTTTCTGGCACTCGTCACCGCTTGTCCACCGCCTCTTAACAGCTTCAAATATGTAGCCAATGATACGCACACAACATCACAGATGATTTCAAGTCTACTCGTATCAAGAGACGAATCTTCTTCTTTGAGTCGCAGATGGACTGAGATCGTGACTATGGTATGCTCATCCCTACACTCCAACGCATGACGTTCAATTAACCGTTCAGCTAGACCGGACAACCTCGTACAGTGTGGCCCGACGGACTGGTCCGATACTGTTTCGAAGACGAGAGCGCCCGAAATAACTTCAAGGACGACATCGACGCAGCCTGGAAACTATGGGTGGACAAGATCGGTGAACCCGGTTGCCCAAGTGGTCACATACTTCAGTTCAGGGAGTACAGGGTCAAGGAAGGGGTATGGCCTTACTGCTACAACAAACGCGAAAAGGACGATGACCCCTGGGTCTGGAACAAGCACGTCAAGAATGACATTGCCGTTATCGCGGAGTCCAAAGATACCGAGACTCAAGCTTCTTCGGTCACAGGCTACATACCAAAAGACTGGAGTGACGAGCAAGGGCGACACGGCATCCATCTCGGTCTGTCATTCAAGCAAAAGTACCCGCCAGATTACTGGATCACAACCGTCGCCCACGAACTAGGCCACTTATTCGGCTTCTGGCACGAGCACCAACGCGAAGACCGCAACGACTACGTCCACTTCGACTGTTCCAAACTGCGGGGTTACGCAGCTGCGAAAGCGAAAATTGATGCGGCGAAAGAACATACCATGGAACAAGTCTGCGCCGACTACCGTCTAGCTCTCCAATACGACTTCCCCGCTGTCCAAGACTACGATACCATTGACCATATCGCGCCTCTCCGCGAGGGTGGTATTGAGTTACCATTGTACATCAACAGTGACCTAGAGTTTGACGACGAATCTATCATGTTGTATACCTCTTCGGAATTCGCGAATGACGGAGCCAATACAGACGACGTCCTACAAGTCCCATTAGCATTCTGGAAACACCGCGGTATAGGCTTCGATCCACCAAACCCAATCACAAAAGAAGACCTAGAAATCATCGACGTGAGATGGAAAGTAAGTGACGGAGATGCAGACGGCGTCCGCCATCTCTACCCTTATGTCGACTCGGACGAAGGAATGGAGAAGAGAAAGAGAGATCAGCCTGACCGCCGGACTTGGATAGAGTGGACATCCGAATTCAATAGCATGGTATAACTGATCTGATACCAAGGTAGAAGTATTATGTATTACAAAGATATGTAAACGGCGATACGTTCGTTCGATCAACGAACAGCGCCGTATCCGTGAGATAGAGGAAGAGCAAGATCTTGAGTGGGGTATATAGCGAACCGAATGAATCCAACCGGCCCAGTACGTCGCCGCGCAAGATCGTCCAGTCCATCGTCGTGTGCCGTTAACGCCAGAGATCCAAAGTCCATAATCCAAAAAGGCGCGTAGTCCTACATATCGTACATAATGTTACAGCATATTACAACAGGTTTGCGAGCCAACCGGGGGCTCGTGAATGGATCCAAAAAAGAACGCCTCGCTGGAAAAATAGTCCCGGATCCCGCAGTAGTGGTGGTGGTGTTACATATATTACAGATGACATGTTCTCGTAAAACACATCTCAGTCGCGTCGGTCGGTGAAGTCAACGCATGCAGCTCCTCTCTTCGTCGCACATCTAGAAGAAGCCCTTGCTCTTCCCAGATCCAAGTTTGGGGCTCATGGGTCCAAAGAGCTTCATGTCGGTGTTCATCTTCTTAACAAACACCAAATATGCCTCTAGCGCCTCATCTTGCGTCTTGAAAGTCTTATCGCGATTCATCCACATCTTCAAGTATTTATCCGCACCAACATCTTTCAGCGCTGCGTACCAGCCGCCAGAAGAGCGCTGACGCAGCGAGATCGCTAGGTTCTTGCCTTTGAGACCCGTCACGTTGGATGCTTCGCGGAGACAGGCGGCGCGTAGATCGCTGTATTCGTCGTCTTCGAGGGAAGAGGAAGAGGACGTTCGCTCCATCTTTGGTCGCGACGAGGAGGTGCGAGCATCAAGCTTAGGGCGCGAGGCTTCTTTAGGTTTGGGCGCGGGTTTCGACTCGGTCTTCTTGCGTGACGGGGTGGAGGGCTTGGGTTCTGGAGCTTTCTTTGGTGGCGCGGCGGCTTTGGGTGTCGGTGGTGTCTTCGGTCGCGAACTTGACTTCTTCTCCGATTTAGACGACTTCTCGGCCTTTTCAGATTTCGATTTTTCTGACTTTTCGTTCTTTGAAGACTTCTCTGGCTTTGACGCGGAAGGTGTGCTGGTTTTTGACGGCGCGGATGGTTTCGATGCGGTAGTTGTCTTGGAGGACTTCGACTTCGACGGCGTTGACGGTGTGGGCTTCTCTGGTGGCGATGTTCTCGCTTTGAACGAATCGAAAGGACTTGGCCATGCGCCTATGGCTTTTGGTGTTTCCTCGACCACTGGCGCATCTTTCTTTGACCTCGAAGTTTTCGCAGGCGTCTTTGGTTCTGGGGCCGCCTTAGTCGCAGCAGACGCCTTGAGTGGCGCGCCTCTCCTTCCCGTCGCGACCGGAGGCGGAGGAGCAGCATCAGGAACCGCAGCCTCTCCAAAAAGCTGCCGTGCTCTATCCTTCACACTGGGAAACATCGCGTGTTTGGATCTGGGGTGGTATAACTCGGGCCGACTATACTGCTGGTAGAATACAAAGTGCTAGACGCGCGATTACGATTAAGAGGTACTACAAATACACAATAACAGCGGGCGTCAAGACTATGCGAAATGGGAGAAGTAAACAAGATGCGTGAAGACATGGAAACATAACTGGGGACCTCGGGATGGCATACGGATTATTCTGGTGCCTAGTTGTGCAACCATGACACGCCCCCATGCCGCATCGGCCAGCATGCGAACAGGCGTTCACATCCAAATTCTGCGTAAATGAGCTAGCGGCCGCTTCTAGAACGCCTGAGAGCATCTCGGAATGCGGGTGGCAAGCGGGTCCCGCGGTTGTTGTTTTCAACGTTATCGATTGAGCATGCTGGACGCGACTCCTGCCATGCGCGCCCAACGTGACCTCAGCGATGTCTCTCGACTTGATCAGCTTGAAGGCCCATCTGACAGCTGGAAAAGAGATCGTTTCATCGTAAAATGGTGTACATTGCGATGACCGTTAGGGGCAGTAACGTTACGAGCCACAGTGGCCCCTTTTCCGGAGAACCGGGCTGTGCGGGAAATTGGAACGGGGACGAAGGACGGCGCGGCAAACACCTTCCGGATGAGAACAATGGCCACAACGCTGCGCAAATGGTGTTGGAGGAAACAGTTGCATCGTTGTCAGACGTTCGTGATGGAGATGAGATGATTTGCGATAAGGTGAGTTATCTTGGGCTGCATTGTGCATGCTGCACGTCAGTCAACGTGCAGCGAAACGGGTTCGGGATGTGGTATAGCGGGCTCCACCCCTTTAGCGCACCCTATTTTGAGCCACGTCTCTCATCTCATCCCAGATACCCCATATCTGTCCTTCGCTTACCCAGCCGTTCGCGCATCCCTAGGGATGCCTTGACATCCTGCTGAACCAGTCGCTTGGGATCTCAAACTCTGGAATTCCTGTATCACAATGGTAGCTCCAAGGTTGTCTATTGTTTGTCTGTGATTATTCCAGCGCTTCCATGACACCCGGATCACTCCCAGCTCCCCGGAAACTTTACCAGTCCCAACCGTTCTGCTTTTCAGCCGTTACTATGGCGTCCCCTCCAGAATACCATTGTTATGGCCCCCCAGGTACTGGCCAACGACCCGATCAGCAGCTCCAATAGACCGAAGCGAGTAAACCGTACGTAAAACACATAAAAAGGCTAAGCATATGGCCCAACAATTTCCTGTGTTTTGGCCCAAACCTTGTCCTGGGCGCCGCTCGCCCTCAATCTCGCCAGCGGCTTCTCATTCAGCGTCGTCTCACAAGTATGCCATATCAGGAACAAGCCTCCGTCTTTCTGTCCTACCGTGTTCTTCCCTTCCTCAATACCTTCCCTCAACGGCACACCCTTCCCTCCAAAAGCCGCACTGGTGATTTGGTACACATACCTCGCACCGGCCTCCTCTTCCCTATACGTCATAAGCCTAATAACCGGATCCATGAACATCCAAGCCGCCCACGAACCCCAAGACCCTTCCTTGAACCCGCGGAACAGATTTCCCGTCCGCACACTCCCTGGAGCCGCGTGTATGAAGACGATATTCTTGTTCTCTGGTATCGCCGCGAGGCGTTCGAGTGAAAGTGTGGCCATGTTGATCATATGTATCATCGTAGTCATGCCTCCGAAGGCGCCTGGCGCTTCGAGTAGTAAATCATCTGGTTTGAAGAACCAGTCGGTTTCCATTCCGCCCGCACGCACGCTTATTACGCGTGCGCGATCCGAAGCGCGGAGGAGGGGAAGGAGGTTTTGCGTAAAGCAGAATCGCGCGTAGAATTCTAGTACCTGGCTGATATCTAGGCCTTCGGATGTAGCTGGGAATGTAAGTTTTTGATGAAGCGCAGTTTGACATAATTAAGGTGGAATAGACTTACTCTCTCGTCCAAAAAATGGTACGTATCCGGTTGTCAGGAAGAGCAAATCGATGCTGGTTTCGAGCTTCTTGATTTGGTCGCATATGCGCTTTACTTCTGACAGCAGCGTGACCTGACCTTCTACCCATACGATATTCGCATTCGGATTCGTCGTATGTAGCTCTTCGATGAAAGGTTGGAACGCCGCCTTGCTCTCTTTCCTTCCAACGACATAGGCTTTGAAATTTGTTCCAAGTTTCGCTACCGCTCCCAGCGTGATTTTTCCTATTCCTGAAGTCCCGCCGACAAACACTGCAATTCGGGGTGCTGTCTCTTCGTCGATTTGCGCATTACTTTCCTTGATCTTGGTAAGGTGCACCATATTGCCGTCTGCGATGGTTGTTTGTGAGAACCGTGGATCTGGATTGCGTGGGTTGATATGGTGGATGCGCGCTGTGCAAGGGTTGAGAGTACTTGAATGCGCAGGCGCAGTTACCTAGCTGCGCCTCGTGGACGAATTGCGCACGGCAACAACGACCGGATGATTTCGAAAACCTCCGCGCAGCATTTTGTGGCAGTGACTGCATATGCGCCAAGTGTTTGTGATACCTTCCGAGGTCATTTGCGGTCGACAGCTTCGCAAAATCATTCGAGTTCGCCGCTATCTGCTGTATTTCACAACGCCTCCCAACACGAGCGCTAAGTATAATGAAAGGACGGTATGTGAAATGCTAATCTGTTTGTATAAAATATACATGTTTCCTGTCATGCTCCTATACCCATAACGCCTGTAGACTCTTGTCCATCTAAATTCACGCCTGCGCGCTGACAGGCTTGATGCCCACCTCGGTCATCTTCGTCTTCTCCACTTCCTCCACCGGGCTATCCGCCCTCTCTACAACATCAGTCAGACCCATGTACTTCAAGCTCGCCGTCCAACCTAGATCATCGCCGAAGTAATTCTTCATGACCTCAACACCATACTTGATGCCGTTCTTCGGGTCGTATGTCAGACATTGCTTGCCAACTGCTAGACCAATGACTGCATCCCATGCTGGCAGCTCTGTTTGGGTGTATTGTTCGGTTGAAGGAGCAAGTTCTGAGTTTAGGATGGCGGAGTAGATGTTCTGTGCAGCGGCTTGACCCATGACTGTTGCGCTGCCTGCGCGCTTGATACCGGTCCAGGCGATTACATCGCCGACGCCGAAGTGCGATGATGCGTTTGGAATGTTGTCCTTGAACATCAGAGATTGGTGGACCATGATCTCCTTGTCCTCGTTCAGGCACTCAGTAGGCAGGACACCCGTGGTTGGTGTTCCCTTCTTTGTCGAGTCAATGACGAAATCGGCTGTGATTGTGTCGTTGTTTGCGAGTGTGACTGTGAACTGGCCATTCGGTTGTTCCGTGATGGATGCGCGGCTACCCAAGACCAGCTTGACGCCTTCTTCTTCGAGCAGGATCTTTGCACGCTCCTTAACGTCTGCTGGTAGTGGCTCCGAAGACAGTACTTCACTCCGTGAGTGCACGAGTGTGACGTCGATCTCAGGGTAGTAGCTCTTGATCTCAGCAGCGAATTCGACACCGACGGCACCAGCGCCGATGACTACAACTTTTCTTCCTTCGCACTTCGATGGGTCGCCACCAGTGATCTTCTCAATGAAGGCCTTTGAATCTCTTTGGTACTCTTCGAAGCTTCCGGACTTCGGCACAGCAGGGAACGGTCGCTTCAGGCCAGTGGCCATGACTAGGTAGTCATATGATTGGTGTTGCGTCTTGCCATTGCGATCGCACCACTCTGCAACCTTGGCCTCAGGGTTGATGTTCTTCACACTTCCATGCTTGAAGTGCAGATTTGGGTGCTTCAGCTCATTTAGATGGCTATACCTCTTCCACATATGGGTTGTGTACTTTGGTGTAACATGGGCGAGCGGTGCGCCAACCGAGTGGACTGCAAGACACAAGCATTAGCTAGACTTCCTCTAACGCAGGGTGACAAGGTGGGGCAGTGAAGATGCTGAGCCTCGGCTAGTGGGGTAGAGTGACGCACAATAACCATCGCGCTCATCGATGACAGTAATTTCAACCCCTCTGTTACTCCGTGCACCCTTGAAGTCAGGGCCTGGGTAGACACTCTGTCGGGCCTTTCCTTGTGAGAGTTCCAGGAGGTTGACGACAGTAGAGATGCCTCCATACGCGCAGCCGACAACGAGTACGCGGTTGGGATTTGATAGGCTGAGGTTGCCCAGTGTGTCAGTAACGCCTTGGAGCCTCATTGTGAATATTTGATCTGATAAAGGAGGGGTCGTGGGGGTGTAGGAGTGTTGGCAGGGCGGGATGAGAGAAAGATGATCTGATTAGATTAGAAGTGCAGGTGGCAGAACGCCCACTTCTATATGCCGGCAGCGCACCACACATACACCACACCGACATCGGAAATCAGCTAACTATCGTCGCGCCAGTAACTAAGCTATCCGCAAGTACACGAGCGATCCACCATCGTCGCGGATATGGTGGTCGGTTTGCGATTGGTAGATGAGAGAGCATCTTATCAGATCCGAGTATTATCCGGTGCAAATTTTATCTGATGCCCCACTCCAACTGCATCTGCCCATCCTTCGTGTCTTGCCAAGGTGAGCAATCAAGGACCTGACTACGCAACGGTGTTCAATGACAGCCTGGTTTCGGCTGCAGCTACCGGAAGGTCGCGTATTTGACCACTTTTCGACTATATCTCCACATCAGGCCTCCGCTGGTGGACACACATGTGCGGAGACCAAGGCCGCCGGTGACAGTCACGGTTCACAACGTTACAATGAGTTCGTATCAACGAGGAATGAAATACGCGTCCGACCTAGACCAGGGCTTACCCTTGGCTCAGG